GGAATATCGAGAGAGCATAGAGAGCCTATTCTTATTGTAACTAAAGTTAATAAGTATGAGTTTTGATGCCAGTCAACCTCAACGCAAAATGGCTGCTTGCACCTATTTTTTTATGTTGTACAAAATTTATGTTGACAAATTATACACAACTTCAAACGATTCAATCAATGTATTTTTGGTAAGTTGAACTGAAAATTTTCACCATGCCCAACAAACTCAAGAAGTCATTTAATTTAAAATCCGTAACTATTTTAATCAATTCTCAAAAACCTCTCCTACTAATAACAAACAAGGCTGTAACTGCTGCATGGCATTTAGGGTTACTTCTGATTTTGAAAGTTTTTCTAAAGTAGTATGAATATGAGATACTTGTGGTGTGGAAACTGCAAATACCAATACAGCTGGTGTGTTAGCTGGTTTGTGATTTAACAAATTGCATGATAATTCAATCAGTTGCCCCCTGCCCATATAATATACTTCTGTATCAGCATGAGCAACAATACTGGCATCCGATGTTAATGCCTGTGCTTTAGTGGCCAACAAAACGCTACGAGCCTGCCCTCTTTTGGTCAGTGGCTTTTGTAAATACGCGCTAGCTGCTAAAGCACTGGTAACACCAGGGACAATCTCAAAAGCAACTCCAGCTTCACGCAAAGTCGTTAACTCCTCATCAGCTCGTCCAAACACCATCCCATCCCCACCCTTTAGACGTACAACTATTGGATATTGCTTGACTGCATCTAAAAGCGCAGTATTAATTTCACTTTGCTTCCAAGAGTGCTCCCCACAACGTTTCCCGACAGCTACAGCTATCGCCTGTGGGCAATAGGTCAGCATCTCAGGACTCACCAGAGCGTCATAAAAAACAATGTCTGCTTTTTGCAATAATTGCATTCCTCTAACCGTTATAAGGTCTGCTGCACCAGGACCTGCACTCACAAAATAAACCTTTGAAACATTCATGGTGTAAAAGATCTTTCTTAATTGTCATTAAAAGTTCATTAACCAATAAAAGGCAAAGCAAAAACCATGCCAAAAATTGCTTTTTCAAGACTTTATTGAACACAAACTCAAACCATGCTAGTCAACCATCAAAAAAGATCTCATCATCGCGACAAGAATCGACTGCCGACATCATCATTTTAATGCATAACAATTGTTTAACCACATCGAAACAAAATTTTATATGGTTTATTATCCTCAATAATTCACAAATACTAACAATTGTTGTAAGATTTCATCTCTTATTTTGATAACCCATGTTGACGTTTGTTACTATGTTAGAAAATTTACATTGGTTCGATATTGCACTTTTGTTGACTTACCTTACAATGAGTGTTGCAACATATATCGCATACGCTTACGATAAAA